GAGGCATCAAAAACTACCCTAAGTTTGGTGGTGAGCGCCTCTGGTTTTAGGACACAGTGATGTGGCAGATAATATGCATGTTCATTAATGTCAAAAACGGGTGTCATGTGGCCACTGTCCAGGTAATCCTGCATAAAAGAATTATATCGTTTCTGAAGGTCGATATTGGAAATGAGACGACGTTCTAATGAATAAAAGCGGCGTAATGCAGGTAATTTGGAATTCACGAATTTTGGTTCCTCTATATCTCGAAAAGGTAAGGATACAACATATCGCCCTGTATTAGCGCGATAAGTTGTTTTGCAAAAAATATTTTCACACTGCTCATCTTCATCTGAGAGCAATTTTTCTTCCGGTACTTCTTCTAGACACCAAAACCTTTTGAGAGTGTCATCTAACTCAGAATTCTGACTAGTCGCGAAAAAGGAGTTGACTAGATTAGCATTAGATATATTGAAATTACCCATGAGAATATAACCAAGTGTAGTATTAATTGCGGTAGGTAATGAACCTTCAGCAGGAATAACCTTTTCGTTCAATAATATCTTCTGGAAAATATTGGCACCTAACAGTATATCAATGGGCCCAGGAATATTGAAAGTTGGATCGGCCAAATTTAAATTTCGAATGTGCTTCCAAGAATTTATCTCCAAATTACAACGCGGAAGTTCAGAACAAATATTTTCTAAAATAATGGCTTCAAATTGGTAATCGGGACCGTTTTCGGAAAGTGGTTTTATCATACAATGTACTCCTCCTGATTTAGTCGCAGTATGCATATCTCCCAAACCATGAATAGAGATGGACAATTTGTGAACAGATAAGCCCAAGCGCTGTACGCACGACTTTGAAATATAGCAAGATTCACTTCCCGAATCGAGCAGACCGCGCGCTAATTTAAAATTTCCCATATTATCGCGGATTTTGAATTTTAAAGTGAATAGCAATACACCTGCAGATGCCGTGGTTGATTGAAGAGCGGTGGCAGAGACGGACTCAGGATGAATTGTGAGCGCGCAATTTGTATTGGATGAATAATTATTATTAGGGGTAACATTTTCAACGTTATTTCTGGAGTTATTCGCGGAGTTAGTGAATGCATTATTAGATCGTGAAACTTCGTTGAAGGAATCATTTGATGCGTTGGGGAAGGAATCATTATCCCTAGTCAGGGGAACAGCGGGATTATGTCTTCGATGTAACAGAGTATGATGAAATCGCGAACGGCAATGAAAACAAGTAGACGTAGATTGACAAGCGCGGGTGGTATGTGAATTACTCAAACAGTTATTGCACATTCTGTTTTGTTTCACAAAATTGAATCGCTCTTGTTGGGACTTATTCATGAAAGCTGGACATTTATAAATTTGATGTTCAGTACTTTTACAGTACGCGCATGGACGAGAATTAGTGGGCCAGGAATTATTAGCTAAGAATGACGAACTAGATCGATAATTATTATAATGTAAGGAGGTAGTAGATTTTGGTCTTGCGGTACGGGAATTGTTGTTAGAAGATGAAGCTATAGTTTCGTAAGCAATACACTGTTCTCGCAAAAAATCTATGACTTCAGAAAACGTCGGTATATCATTAGATCCATAGTTCAATTCAAAGCGTGATAAGGTAGTAGGATCTAATCTTTTAAAAATCATTTGAGTGACAATGAAATCCCATTGCTTGACAGGGTATTTCAAATTATTAAGGGCAGCTAGGTTTTCTTCAAAGATATCGAGCAATTTACACAAAAGAGCGGGATTTTCAGAAGTCTTCCGAGGAGCATTATCAATTTCATTCCAGTGCGATGTTGCCAAAAGTCTTTTATTAGAGTATTTTTTAACTAATGCATTCTAAGCCACAATATAGTTTGCGGCAGTCAACGGGTGACACATTACTACATTCTTAGGTGGACCTTCTAATGCTGAAATTAGATGGGAAAATTTTTCAATATTAGTAAGCTGCGGATTATTATGTATCAATGCATCAAATACGTCCACAAAAGATGGAAAATGTTTGATATCTCCGTTGAATTTACTAAGTCTCAACTCTGGCAATTTTATTTTATTTGAAGTAGAAGTTTGTTCAAGAGCGGTGGAATTTAATTGAATATCTCTTTCAAGAAGTTCGTAATGAACGGATTTTATTGAAAAGTATTTATCTTCAAAATCGGTTCGAATGACTTCCTCAGTTTCTAAAACGAATTCAGTATCATTGGACATAACAGCATTGTGTTGTTTTAGAAAGTTTTCGTAAATTTTTTCTACGAGTTTGAATCGTTGCATAAAAACAGAATGTACTGATTCATCATTCTGAGCTCTAACTGCTACATTATAAAGTTCAGTGATTTTATTAATCTCAATAGTTCTAAGACTTTTTGCCCTTTTCAATTTATCAGCGAGAGTTGACATTATAATATTTTATAATATAATATTTCAATTATTTCCAAGCCGACCCTGTGCGGTTTAGAAATCACCTGTTGTATGGACACAAGAAACCAAATATAGGTGAGAGAGCAAAAAAAGCGGAATAGCGAGGATCGAGCAGGCGATATACCGATAACTGAATGATTGTTTTTTGATCTGACTTGCGCGGTTAGAATAATTATAATGGACTCTTATATTTCGGCGTTTGAAATTGAAACAAATTTCGATAAATCTAATGAGGAACAAGAAAATATCTATTAAATTTTAAATATCTTGCTCAAAGGACCAATGTTACGAGTGTGATTTAGAAAAGCTGATTTCCAAAGATATTCAAATTTAAATTGATTGCAAAGTAAAACCGGCCACGTTTTCCCTTACCTTTCTTTCTTTTCTTCCTCGTCAAAGATTCATCAACAGTTTCACTTCATCCTGGTACACTAGGGGCCCCTTTTTCTTCTTGATAAAGGCAGTTTCGATGTCCTGGCACTTATTTTCGATTACAGGAAGACACTTAAAATTATTCGCGGTTTTTTAAATTAACTGATGGCGGGTGAAGGTTCGTGTCTATCAAAACGATCTCTCGATCTCTACGATCCGATTCCTTCTCTCTCGTACCTCGTGCAGACATGCGCGAGGCCTTAGGTAGGGTCAACGTGGTGTATTTAGATATACCGCGAATTCTGAATATATATACATAAAAAAAAGATATTTTCTTGTTTCCATCTTATCACTATCCTAACACTTAACGTGTTAAAAAAAAAAATTGTACAAAATTGTGAATACTGAACAACTAATATCCTATTAACTGTGTCGTGTTACAGAGTGATTCTCAACGACTGTAATGACGAATACAATGTCAATACGTGAATACGTGAAAATAAAGTTGTGGTGGGTTAGTAAGTATAAGAGTCACAAAGTGAACCGTTACAAGATGTTGATCAATCTGAATCAGAGTCTAAGTTGTCAGTTTCGTTTCAATTTGTTCAGGGTATGATTTCAGTTTGTCAAATTGATATTTATGAGAACTGTTTCTGATCTGAATTTCAGCTGTATTATCCCCAGATAATTTTGAATTTCAATAAGGACCGGGCCATCAGGGTTGACTTCCTGGTGAAATTGATTTCTTTCGTAAATAAACTAATTGACCTACTGTATGATCGGGAAATATTTCTCGTGTTTTATTTTCCAGATGGATTTTTAATTTTTTTTTAATAATTGATTATATCCTCTGATAATTTCAAATCTGAATCTGTGAAGTCTATCTCGTTCTATACGATATCTTCCGGGTGTAGATTCATTTGTTATTTTACTGAACTGAGAGTCGCCAAATTCTTGCGGACTGAATTTTGTCGAGTCTGAATTTTAATTATTATAAGTTATAATCGCGTGGAAAAGAGCTGATTGTGAATTTCCTGTGTAATCCGTCGCTCGAAAATATTTTAATCATTCCGTTGGATTTTGGATGCTCGATTGTGGTGAATCTCAGTTGGCTATCGAATTGCTTTCAAAGCTCTTTGAGTTTCGCAACAATAAATTCTTCACCATGGTCGGCTGTAGCTATTTTGGAAATTTCAAAGTTTTGGAAATATTTCTATCAGTGTTCGTAAACTTCTTGAAAACTTATTGAGAACTCATCAACTAATATATATCCTTGCGCAAATTTCGGAAAGTCGTCTATTACTTTTGAAGTTTTAGTTTTTTTCAAATTCAAATGAGTCGATGTATATTTTATCGAAGGGTTTTTCGGTATCGTCACTTATTTCTAATGGGTACATCAACGGTTGTCTTGAAATTCTATTTTCTTCACCAATTAAACATTTGTGTATAAAAATTCTGATATATTTCTCCATGTTGGGCCATTTATTATGGTTTTCGAGTTTATTATATGTTTCGTTAACACCCCTGTGTAGATTGATCCTATTTTCATCATATCTGTATGATCGTTTGTCTTCTATCAATTTGTTAATTTATTGAAGTGGCCTGACCTATATTAACTTTGATGTTTGAATCTCTAGAAAATTTGCTAAGACTTTCTGCTAATGGAATTTTTGGTTTTGGTACTTTAATTTGATATGTCGTGTTTTCAGTGAGTGTTCTCATAGAATTTTTCAATTTGGTACAACATTCATTTCATGTGAAGTCGTCTAATTTGACGAGTATATTTATATTGTCTCTTCGGCTGTGAAACTCATTCAATTTCGATAATATCTGAGGTGAATTTACAATTATTGGGTATATCCAAAAGTCCTACTCGACGTTTCGGCTCCAATCAGAACATGCGAAACTTCATTCCACTCCTGGTATTGAGTGAAAAAGGTAATCATCTCTGATAATAAACGAAAAATCACAAAATTGCTTTATCATTCTTTTTTTTTTTTCGAGTAGACTTTTAGAAGACTAATTCCAGAGTTTGGGAGAAAATGTTTCACCATTTCAGATCGAAAATAATTTCTTGTTTCATGAATAATCAGTTCATTTTTCTCGTATCTGGATTTCGATTTCCCAACATTAATTTGTATTTTGTCAACTCAATAAGTATTCAATATGATCATCATTGAAGAATTTCTCCTATTTTTACAGGTATGGATGCCGCGTGACTTGTCTCGCGGGAGCACTGGTGTCTGCCGCGTCCTTCGGGCTTTCAGTGCTATGTCCTTCAGTGGAGTGGCTGATGATTGTATACGGAGTAGGCGGTGGCCTTGGCTTCGGCCTAATGTACGTGCCGGCAGTGGTGAACGTTGGGTACTATTTCGAAAAAAGACGGTCGCTAGCGACTGGAATAGCTGTTTGCGGGTCGGGATTCGGGACATTCGCGTTCGCGCCACTGGGTGCGTATTTTCTGAACAGTTATGGATGGAAGGGAGCCAATTTGGTACTTGCCGGGATTTGCTTGAGCTGCGTGATTTTTGCCATTCTGATGAAACCCATTGCATATGAGAAGAAATCAGACGAGGCTGCAGTGGTTGACGCAGGACTGCAGCTGTCAAGTGAGAATGTCACTAAGAGCCTTGTGAGTATTATGATACATCTGTAGATCATGGAAACTTTTCTGATAGAAGAATTAACGATGGTTGTAAATGAATACCAGTGAAATAGAGATGTACGTTCTGGAAACAATCATAATCCTGCTTTCAACATGAAAACTTCCATCTTTGACTCGAACGAAATAAGAAGATGTGCATCGTACACATTGAAAATGATGCAGGCGATCTTCGTTCAGTGAGTACTAGGGCAGATTGAATTCTGAATCATGTCTAAATATTACAATCCTACCAGTTTATTTTACCGTTGAGAAAGAAGAAACCTCAATGAATAGCATTTTTTAGTAAATCTTTATACACGCAGATTAGGTTTATCAACAAAATAGCAATAGAACTTGTTTTCGTAGAGAATCAGTATGGGAATGGTATATTGGTAGCTACAGAATCTGTTCACCTGCGAAGAAACTATTACTTGATATAATTCAGCAGAGAAATTACCTTCTCATGGAAAAAATATTATCTATGTCCTTGGCTAACATAAATTCCATATGATTGTATTCCATCCTCCTATCTCCTGCTCATTAGGATTCACCGACTATTATCGAAACATATGTCTCTTAAGGATGCCATATGTTACAATGATTAATGCTGCAACAACTTGGAAAGACCTGCTGCTTTTAACATACAGAAAGTGTCTTGACAAGAGTGCCTGATACGATTCAATGAGAAACACAGTCATTCATCCAATCAAGCAAACATTCTCATCTCAATATAAAAAATTACTCCGATCAAATGTGGAATGCAACATCAGGCAATTAGCTACCACGAAACCACCGACACAGGGTTTTCTTTCGTGGCGGTATTCACCAATAACGCGCTGTATTTCTTTACAACTGTTCCAGGCTTATTTGCATACACCTTTTTCTTCACATATAGCCTCGAAGAAATAGGACGATTTTGGTGGCCAATATTGATCGCCAAAGAATAACACGGTCTGGAAACTTGATCTGCAGGAGCACGATTGCTTTATATGCTGTTTGGCAGGTCACACCGTTTTGTTGCAACATGTCCTCCACATCAGTTCTATTCCATTCGAGCCACAAAATGTCCATCAACATTTCAGGATACCGCACACCGTTAACAGCACAAAATGCACACCAAACAGATACAAGCGGCAGATGCATTGGTTGTTTGAGTTTCATACGATGATTTTCAGTACTCCAAATCCGACGGTTCTGCTCATATGCGAATTCATCCCTTGGCTTGATTTCTTGTACCTATTGAATCTTGAACACCTATAGTTTCGAGTAACCGACAAAGACGACGATGAATAATTCTAAATAATTTTATAATAAAACGCCTCACTGCCCATAATTCAGGTTTGATAATGCGATCTCAAACTTGAACTGAATTGCGAACTGTCACCATTTTTGTGACAATTAAATATTGTTGTTGAATAAATTGGTAAATATATCCATGAATCATCTTTCAAAGATCGGTTCTTTCAAACTTCCTAATGATGAATAGTGAGAGTTTGTTTTATAATCTGATAATATACTATGAATAAGATTCCTATTATAATGATATATCATGATTTTGTTTCCACGCCGAGAAAAAATTATCTTAGAAATTCACTACTGACAATGAAATAAACACCTATATTAGGGACGTACTTTCACTTTGATTACCATTAGGAACACAAAGACCCAGACAGTGTTCATTCACCAATATTAAACATTATCAAACAAAGAACTCACAGTTATGACACAGACGTATCAACCGTTAATAATTATTGTACTTGTTGTTAGTGAATATTCCATTTGTTGTTAGAAAAAAAGTATTCGTCATTATTGAATGATACATTTTAGTACTATGAAATGTTGAAATAATACAAATAACATTTTCCATATCTTCATATAATTTGGTTGCATCAAATTTTTATATTAGATAATCTGCATATGCGTTATTAACATGATGAATGACATATAAACGATTGAAAGGAGAATAAACGATATACCAGCACCATATACCACAACTCTGGGCTCAGGAGACAGGCCCATGCAGACTCAGGCACTGAGCTAGAACGGGTTCGATCTCTAGACCTGGAGGCACGGGAACAGGGCTCACACGTAAACCCCAGTGCGGAACTGGAAGTGGTCCTGGCACCGGGCTAGCGTTGCCGGAGGGCTTCTCCAGGCTTCTGGAATGAGCCAGGGAGGGTGGCCTAATGCAAATCCCAATGAATCATAACAAATAACTGATGAAACTCATCAAAATTAACAGGTTGAGTGCCGTGAGAGTCCAACATGATCTCGCACATACTTCTGACTTTTTGGCCGCGTGAGACCAATATGGTCTCGCATATATCCACAATTGATTTGGCTGCATATCTCCACAGCGGTCTCTCGTAGCATTGTGAACTAAATGACGTCCGAAACAGAGCGGCCTGGTGGTCCAGAGACATATTTTGGCCTGTGGATATGAGAGACCAAATTGGTAGTACGTGGCTAGGAAATATCAGTAATCTTTTTTTTTTTTTTTTTCACGCAAATATATAGGTACTTTCATTAGTTTTCTTTATTTATACATCATAAGAATGAAACAAAATCATTGAATCATAAAACAATATACCTACTGTTAGAAACTGCACTAGTCGACGGTATATCATTTCTGAATGTTTGAGTTTGTCTAGCACCGACTCTCTTTTTGATTTTGGGACGTTTTCTCGGTTGTTTGGAAGATGCATTCTTCAACGATGACGAAGAATCTACTGATGACTCACATTGCTATTCATCAGAAAGATACACGTTTCCAAACAGGGATTCTCCATCTTGATTGCTTCAGTTTTCGTCTTCATCGGACAAAACCTCCTAACATAACTTCGTCAATTGGTTTTGTTCTTTCTCGTACGAGGACATGATGAGACTCTTGCAGCATCACGAGACAAGTTGAGCCGGTCTGCCGGTCCCCCGCTACAATTCTCTACATGCAGACATGCGCATAGCGTAGTGACACGTTGGTCTCGCGCAGCCGCTTGAACAAAATGGTCGAATGAGGGGCCGTGTGAGACCAATGTGGTCTCCAAAAATTAAGCGCCATTTTGAACCTTCCCAAAATTCCGACACATCAAAAATAAAAGTAAATATCAACAGTACGTTAGTATCTGATGTTTAAGGCAAAAATAATGTATTGGCCTCTGGAACCGATATTTTTCGATGCATGGTGGCACTCAACCTGTAAAGTTCTAATATGGGCATCGCGAAAGGGGTTGTTCATTGATACACCTTCTGAACAGAAATGTGAACTGTAATACAGGATAACTCAATTGAAGTTTCCTTCCATTGAGTAATTGTGTTTTACTCAGCTAAAACTCTCTAGTGCCTCCAATTGGCACTCCTGGATAAATGACATGAATAAATAGATTAACATACTTCGAGTGACTTGAACAGTTTCAGGAATTTCTTTTTTTTGTTATTTACTCACATTTTCTGCAATTTTTGTGTATGCATGGACTATTAACAGTGAATATTCGAATACGAGAGTAGAATCACGTCCTGATGAAATAATCAATGTTCAAGGATGTCATAAAATCCTCTGATTCCAACCCTATGGTTCCCTCAACCGAGTTCAGCCTTCGCGCAATGATGCGGTTATAATCTAGAGAGACTAGCAGAATTGAACGAAGTTAAGCTAGTATTGGATTCGGGGTGGATTTCTCAATATCCAAGATGGTCGACATGACCTATAAATTCTATGTAGGGCTCATCCTGTAGCTTTTTAGGACAGGAAGTACAGAAAAAAATAAGAACAACGTTGTGGTTTTTGGAATCGGTCATTTATTCTTTCAATTATCTAACTCTATGATATAAATATAACTCTACGATCTCATTGATACTCCATCTGATTCATAACCAACAGAGTTGAAACCGATATTATTTCCAGGGTTGTGGGAATTAACAAAAAAATCAGCACTAATTATCAACATAATACTCGAACACTCACAACTGCTGGAGTATCGCATCTGGCACTGACCACTAGCGGCATTTTCAATATGCTGCCAATTCTTATCATGCTGTGAAACGATGGATAATGGACATTTCGATGGATATTGAACGTCTTGATTATGGCAGGCAAATCCCAAATAACATAATATCTTACAAATATGAGCACATGTTCCTAGTGTCCTTGATCCTGATTTTTAAACTGCAGTAGTATTCATCTGAAGTGTATTGAATGAATACTTGATATCTTTCCCTCCTTCTGAATCGATAATACACTGTGAGTCTAATAAATTCAGGTTCATTCACTCTGAGATCAACTTCAAACGACTCATGATTATCTATAAGAATTTTGTGTTGGATATAGGACGCTGATAATTTGATCTGATGGGTTCGAAAAGACACAGTTTTCGAATAATCCATAGATAGGTGTGGAAATTGAGGTACATGCTGCCATAATCCACGTCAATTCAGTACACATTCTTTCTCTACCCGTTGTTAAACAATATCAATTTACATCTAGACCTGGTTTACATAATGAACAAAAATCGACGAAATAAAACAAAACAGATCATAATAAGAAAGGAACATTATAAAAATAATGACTAGGTATTCAGTATTCACAAACCTCAATCTAATAATGAGTAATAATCAAAATGAGAATAATCGAAACAAATACTGAATATAAAGACAAAAATAGTGGTAAATATAGGAACAAGAATAAAACAAAACAGATCAAAATGGAGAAGGAACATTATGAAAATAATACCTAAGTTTCCACATACCTAAACCTAATAATGAGTATTATTCAAAATGAAATGATAAAAACAACCACTGAATATGGAAACAAAAATAGAGGTAGATAAAGAAACAAATCGAAACAGTAAAAACAACCCGTTACAAAATATCGTCATTCTATTTTTCTTATTGTCGAGAATTTCTATGATATTGACAACTTCGAGGTTAATGTCCCGGTCTCTATGTTACAAAGCTATGCCTACTAACCTCTCTTGCGACAAAGTTGATCGCAA